ATTCTCTCTCTCTCTCTCATTCTCTCTCTCTCTCTCTCTCTCTCTCTCTCTCTCTCTCTCTCTCTCATTCTCTCTCTCTCTCTCTCTCTCTCTCTCTCTCTCTCTCTCTCTCTCTCTCTCTCTCTCTTTCCCTCTCTCTCTCTCTCTCTCTCTCTCTCTCTCTTATCTTCATTATTATAAATATTCTTATAATAATAACGAAATATATGCGTAAAATAATTAATCAAAATAATTAATTATATATGTTTGTGAAGAAGAAACTATAACTTAAATGTTTTCGGAATTTAAGTACAGAAGTAGATTAAATAACAACATAAATAACAATAAATAACAAATAACAAAAAATAGCAAATAAATAACAATAAATAACAAATAACAATAAATAATGAATAACTAAGAAATAACAATAAATAACAATAAATAACATAAATAACAATAAATAACAAATAACAATAGATAACAAATAACAATGAATAACAACATAAATAACAATAAATAACAAATAACAATAAATAGCAAATAACAATAAATGATAAATAATAATAAATAACAAATAACAATAAATAGCAAATAAATAACAATAAATAATGAATAACTAAGAAATAACAATAAATAACAATAAATAACAAATAACAATAAATAACAAATAAATGACAAATAAATAACAAATAACAATAAATAACAAATAAATAGCAATAAATAACAAATAACAATAAATAATGAATAACTAAGAAATAACAATAAATAACAAATAATAATAAATAATAAATAACAAATAAATAACAAATAAATAACAAATAACAATAAATAACAAATAACAATAAATAACAAATAAATGACAAATAAATAACAAATAACAATAAATAACAAATAAATAGCAATAAATAACAAATAACAATAAATAATGAATAACTAAGAAATAACAATAAATAACAATAAATAACAAATAATAATAAATAATAAATAACAAATAAATGACAAATAAATAACAAATAACAATAAATAACAAATAAATAACAATAGATAACATAAATAACAATAAATAACAAATGACATTAAATAACAAATAAATAACAAATAACAATAAATAATAAATAATAAATAACAAATAACAACAAATAACAATAAATAACAAATAAATGACAAATAAATAACAAATAACATTAAATAACAAATAAATAACAAATAACAATAAATAATAAATAATAAATAACAAATAAATTACAAATAACAATAAATAGCAAATAAATAACAAATAACAATGAAAAACAACATAAATAACAATAAATGACAAATAACAATAAATAGCAAATAAATAACAATGAAAAACAACATAAATAACAATAAATAGCAATAAATAACAAATAACAATAAATAACAAATAAAAGAAATAATGAATAACTAAGAAATAACAATAAATAACAAATAAATGACAAATAAATAACAAATAACAATAAATAACAAATAAATAACAATGAATAACAAATAACAATAAAAAACAAATAACAATAAATAACAAATAAATGACAAATGACAGTAAATAACAAATAGACAACAAATAGCAATAAATAACAAATAAGAATAAATAGCAAATAAATAACAAATAAATAACAAATAACAATGAATAACAAATAAATAACAAATAAGAATAAATAGCAAATAAATAACAAATAAATAAAATATAAAATAAAGATAATAAATAAATAATGAATAATCAGGATAATAAATAAATAATTAGAGATAACATATAAATAAATTATTGGATAATAAGGATAATAAATAAATAAATAATGGGGAAAATTACAGGAAAGAGATATAAATAATGATAAATGTATAAATAAGAGATAAAATAATAATAATGAATAAATAATAATAATAGATAATGATAATGATAAGGATAATAATAATAATATAAAACAATAATAATAATAATAAATATATAAATAAGAGATATAAATAATAATAATAAATAATGATAATAATAAGGATAATAATAATAATATAAATAATATAAAACAATAATAATAATAATAAATATATAAATAAGAGATATAAATAATAATAATAATAGATAAATGATAATAATAAATAATGATAATAATAATGATAATAATAATAATAATAAATATATAAATAAGAGATAAATATAAAAATAAGAGATATAAATAATAATGATAATAAATAAATAATAATAATAAATAATAATAATAATAATAATAATAATAATAATGATAATATAAATAATAATACTAATAAATATATAGATAACAGAAATAAATAATAATAATGATAAATATATAAATAAGAGATGTAAATAATAATAATAAATAAATAGTAATAATAAATTATGATAATAATAATAATAATATAAATAATAATAGTAATAAATACATAAATAAGAGATATAAATAATAATCGACGCTCAGATTTCCGTCTAACAATGAACGCTCCCGGACGACAGATGTAAATAGTAATGATAATAATAAAAATAATAATATAAATGATAATGATAATAGATATATAAACAAATAATAAATCAATATAATAATAATCGACGCTTAGATTTCCGTCTAACAATGAACGCTCCCGGACGACGGATGAAAATAATAATAATAATAATAATAATGATAATAATAATAATAATAATATGAATAATAATAATAGTAATAATAATAATAATAAAAATAAATACATAAATAAGAGATATAAATAATAATAATCGACGCTCAGATTTCCGTCTAACAACGAACGCTCCCGGACAACAGATGTAAATAGTAATAATAATAATAAAAATAACAATATAAATAATAATAATAATAACAATATATAAATAGATAATAAATCAATATAATAACAATCGACGCTTAGATTTCCGTCCAACAACGAACGCTCCCGGACGACGGATGTAAATAATAATAATAATAATAATAATGATAATAATAATAATAATAATAGTAATAATAATAATAGTAATAATAATAATAATAAAAATAAATACATAAATAAGAGATATAAATAATAATAATCGACGCTCAGATTTCCGTCTAACAACGAACGCTCCCGGACAACAGATGTAAATAGTAATAATAATAATAAAAATAACAATATAAATAATAATAATAATAACAAATATATAAATAGATAA